ATTGATTGGCCAACTTTATGATGTCACCATAGGTTTTTGTCACCTACGCTAGGCAAGTTGGTCGGGGCACTAGTCGCCAGTCATATGCCTATTGATTGACCAATTATTTTATAGCGGAGGCCCCAGGTTAGAAATCACATTCGTGACCGATCTCATGTGCAACCGACTGGCTTCCTATTTCAAGCTTTGGACCTAAATCCTAATGAGTTGGAATCCAATGTCCCACAGGTGTAGCGGTATCCGATCTTCTGTGAAGGGATCGAAACATTGCACTTGCAAACGGTTAGCTAGACTGTTTTGTAAGAGGCAGAGAATTGTTCCTCTAGCAATTGAAAAAGAAAATTTCATGCACATGCTTGCTATAATTGAAGGCGCCTATGTCGCATATCCACGCGTGAAAACCCTAGGTGTCTATGTGAGATCGTTAGATGAGTGTGGCTCGCTATTGGTTGTAATCATTCGCATTGCATGATATATTGTGTCACGATATGTGTTTTGCTTGGAGCATGTTGCACTAGCACATTGCCTCGACCGACCGCTTTGGCTCTGTCGATCGATCACTTTGAACTAGTTGACCACCTTAGCCCGACTGAGCCCTTGGGCTACGTTGTCCAGATCAACGAAGATATATTAGAAGATGTAATACATGGTCGTTGACAAGAATCTTCCGGTCGAAGTAGGCTTGACCGCCTCTCTGGACTAAGTAGATCAGGGAATCTGACAACCTCGGGATGACGAAAAGCCATGTACATCTTGGTCGGGTTGTACTAAATAAAAAAATAATAATTAACTCATTAATAATCAAACTAAATACATTTATTTCTCTTACATTAAAATAAAGCATTCTAACTCTATTTTGTTGGGCTGATAAAGATAAAAGACAAAAATGTTGCCTTAGATTTACTTTACATATTATTAGGAAGTCCTAACTCTGTTTTCTAGGGCTGATAAAATACAAAATGCTGCCTTAATCAACCAAAACTTAACCTGAATCAACCCAAGCCAACCTAAGCTCAGCCTTGACTTATACTAGTTGACTCGTATCATACCTTAGCTCAATCTTGAGCTAACATAAGCTGGAAATTCAGCTTACCTCAGCTCAACCATAGCCTAAGTCTAATTCAAGGCTAAGTATATGCATTATTTTATGTGTGTTATTTCATCTTTCATTTCATATGTTATTTCATGTTAAAAAACCAAACAAAAAATACATAAAACAAAAACAAGGATGAAAACCTTCTCAATTTTCACCACAAACATCAAAAAATCAAATCTCAAACAAACAAACTAAAAACTTAAAAAAACTTTAATTTCTCAACGTGAATGGCAAACCCAAGAATAAAGATATAATATATACTAAAATATTAAACTTCAAATAAATATCTAAAACACACCAAGATAAAGAACGAGAACAACTTAGGTGGATCTGACTGGACCTTAGGTTAGCTAACTTAGACACCACATTGAGGGCCACACGCTGAGTATAGAAGCCTAAGTTTATTCAAGTACCCTATCTAGTGCTAAGGACAATGACATGCAAAACAACAAAACTACCCCCTGAAACTAGAGGGAATGCCTTAGAATGAAGTAACTTATGGTTACTGACGAAGATATTTTAGACCACTTCAAAACTACGAACCCTCCACACTACGACACTTAAGGGGGATTCCTATTCATGAGGTCGGTCATAGTCGAAGGATACCAATGTTCTTGGGACAACAAAAAGTTATGGTCTTCTTGACCGGGGACATTATTCCAAAAGTCTAGGTAAGTCCTCCCTTAGAATTCCTTATAAAGTTTAGGGTTTCATCTCTCATCTAGAAATCCTTCTCTACAAACTCCAACTGTTTATGTCAATGAACTCAAGTATTTGTGATTCATTCGTTAACTTTACTTGATCAGTTCAAACTCATCATCAGTCCAGTTCAAGCCTTTCAATTGTCACTCTCCAAACTTCATTTTGGTTTTTCCCATAGCATGTCCTCATCAAACTGCAAATCTTATCCCTTTGAACTTAATTATTCCAATTTAGACCCTCCACTTACTTTAAATCACCAAATTATAAAAGTTCAATCTCTGACAGTTCGACTCATTAAATTAATCGAGAGTTTTCTTTAGGACTCACGGCTCTTAGGATATAATTAACTGCAAGGGTTTGCCTTTGTAGAGAACGAGACCCTAGAATTAAAATAAATCTTATCTTATTTTCATAAGGTAAGGGAAAAAAACCTGATTCCGTAGACTGACGTAGACTTTCATTATCTGGGAGAGTTAGACCCATTTTTTTAAATAATATTCTTCATATTCCGGGGAGATTTATTATTCTTCAAAATACTGTGTCCTATCATCTACTAAAAATCTTTCAAAAAGTTTTATTGTGTGTGGCAATACAAAATTCCCCACCATGAAATCATTATTATCTATCTATGTTCAAGTTGATATTACATACCCATATTCAAGTTGTGTTGTCAACTCATATTCAAATTATTGTTACTTACTCATATTCAAGCTAATATTAACTGCTCATAATCAAGTTATTGTTGCCAACACATTCAGACTATTGTTATTTATTTATATTCAATTATTATTGCATTAAGGTAGTTGTTGCCTAAAGGGTATTGTCACATTTTTCTCGAAGTCTTGACTTTTGAATGAATTATAATATAATGGATTTCATCTTAAGCAGCAATTGGGAATTGCCATTCATGGAAGTTTAGATATTCAAACTCTCTAAAAAAAATGTGTTCAATTAAATATAAAACTTCTCAGTCAAATTAAAAAAAAATGAAAATGAAAATAAAATAAGAAGTAAAAAATTGTGAAAGTCTTGATCCAATAAACATCAAAATAAGTTGATGGTTTACCTAAAATGAAGCTTAAGGTGATTTAAAAAATAAGTCAAGTCATTTCTTAATACATAAGACGTAAAAAATCACTTAAGAAAATTTTATGATATTATATTCAGTAAAAAGTTAAGGGATTTTAGGTTGGTTGGTGAACTAATGCTTGATTTAAAATATCTTTTGGAAATGAAAATATTTCAATCACACTAAATTAAGAATTTTGAGATCTGCTTAGGGTCGGGAGGAGGGGAAATAAAGAAAGGGTCAAATTATTAGAAATTAATGAATATTCTACTTTGAAATGATATTTACTTGTTTCTTTTATGACACTTATATAATCTTGCTAAGGAATCAAGAAGACCGCATGAGAGCTACGCAAATCATTTTGACAAGTCTCGGTTTAGCTTAGCTATAAGATTACTTGAGAGCTGGTAATAGATAAATTTATAGAAATTGATGTAAATCAAATATGTAATATTTTTCATGTCTAATTTTGTGATTTATTTCATTATTATTATGATGATATACTTTTAAAAGTATATTTGTTATATTTTGCAGTGTACACAAAAAATTAAGTGATTCAGGGAACAAAAGAGATGAACCTGACCTAAAATACTAAAATGTAGACAATATGACATAATTGTGCTATAGTTGCATAATTGAGCCCGAAAATATGGCATAATTACATTGCATGGTGGCATAGTTACGTCATAGATAAGAGAGGATGACATGATTATGCCACTCAGCGACATAATTATGCTGCACTATGACATAATTGTGTCATTTTCTAGCGTAATTATGTCAGTGCTCGTCTAGAATTACAGACTTGATCTATTTGGTAATTTTTAAGCGGTTTGGAAGTTTTGATGCTAAATAAGAAGACCATGTGAAAATTAGAGATGACTTTTAGCCTTTGGGACTTTGCCTCTAGAGTTTAGGAGATTCTTTGGAGCACTAGGGTTGCTTCCAAAGGTTCGCTCGAGAAAGTTTTTTTCTTATTTTCTTCTTGTTATATTCTTCTAGTAAGAGTTTGGGGATGTTAAGAGGAGAGATTAAATGCACTTGCAGGAGAGACATCTACGAAAGCTTGTATTGGATGAAGAGGACTACAATGTATTGCAAGGGCTAATTGGTTTGGGTTTTAGTCTTTTGTGCTTCTTACATTATTTCCTTTTTATACCGCATTAACATATTTCTTGCTTTCTTTTTTGACGCATTATAATTAAATTTATTTTTATACTCCTATGATATATGACATGTGATTTTCTCATTATGTTATCTTATGGATATTGTTCTTCAGACGTATTTTCATGCTTAAATTTTGTATGTTGATATGTTAACTTTTCAGTCTTAATTTATTTCTAATTTGACCCAGTATAAAGTTAAAATCTCTTATATATATTTAAAACTAAATTAATTAATTACAGCTCGTGTGATTATATAGTTCTGCATCTTCTATTATTCAAAATTTATGCATATTCGGATTCAACACTCTGCATTTAGTTTTCTAATTAGTTTAAAAGAGCAATTTTTGAGCCAAAAATAAACAAGAACATGAAAATCGAGTTCAACACGAACACATTGTTCACGGCCAATTTCGAACACAAGCCAATTTTGAACTAGAAGAACACGAGTGAAGCGCAAACTAGCTTAAACTCGGCGCTTACAACCCTGCAATCACTATTGATGTCTTCAATTACATTAAACAAAGTGACATTTTTTAAGTCTTGACTCGGCCAATATAAGAAGGTGATGTGTTGAAATTATAATAATAAGATTAGAAATAATAATTCTCATGATGCTGCCTAAAGGAGAGAATATTCCGTGCTTTGTTCACGAGTCCGGACACCACCTCCCAAGTTCACATGCAAGGTGATGAGGACTTCCCGTGATGTCTGAATGTGCGAATAACTGCCCCTATTATTTTTCATGTAAGAAAAGCTATTGTTTTTTTTTATAAGTGAAAATTTGACATTTTTGAAATTTATCAAAATAATAATTTTAAAAGTGGCTTGTAAATCATTGATTAAATATGGTGCATCTAATTTTCTCATAGCTAAATGACTAAAATTTTAAATTCTCCATATTGTACTTATTCTAAATTAAAATTTATTTCGAGCAAATGACCCCTCCTCGCAGGAAAAAATTTTTCCCCTCCTCGCAATGCCAACAATCTCAGCTTTATTCGTGATGGAAACTAAATAAGCAAGGTAAACGTACCAGAAGGTGACTGCATCCGACTTCTGGTTCCTTCCACCACTTGTCGCCATTCCCCGTACTCGAGCTACTGGAGGCGATGAGATCAAACCACCCCCATTTCTCAAACCCTATAAGACAAACGAACCCAACTTCAACCTTCACGCTTCCAAAAATCCGAGAAAAGTGAGCTAAATGCCGCTCCGTTTAGTTCACTATTATCTCTTTTCCCAAACCCGTTCCTCCGCCGGCGCATCAGCTCCGCTCCGCCGATTTCTCCAATGTCGGCCGATTCCCCGTCCAACTTTCCCGGCGAGTGATCGGCCCTCACTTCCGATCGGAGATGAACTAATCAAGATGATTCGGGATCTCAAGGCCAACCGAGTTCGGAACGATCTTCCCCCTCCTGACATGAATTATGCAGTAATGGAATCTGGATCGATAACGGCGGCGGAGGTGAAGAAGGTGCTGAGGGTAACGGAGATGGAGGCGGTGAAGTCGCGGCTGAGGGTGATTTCACGGAGCCATATTTCATGGTCGGAATTCATCTGCATCTGCCGCAATGTTACGAGCACGGAGGAAAACGCGGCGGCGATTGCGAGGTCTTTGGATGAGTGCGGTTTCGTGATTGCGTTCAGAGATCTGGTCATTCTTCGTCCCGGCGAGGTATTGTTCTCCGTTTGCAGATTTTGAAAAACATAGATTTTCCCGCCAAGATTTGGCTGGCTCGGTTTTAATATTTTGTAAAAAATAAAAAAATTACATCATGACTCCTAACTCATAGCTACGTTTTGTAGTTCACTGATATTTTATATTACGCCAAGATTTTTCGGTCTGATAACACAGAAAAATATTCTTTATGTATTATTCTGCGTTATTCAGGTGTTACTGATATTGATGTGTTATTATATTATTATAAAAATGAAAATATTATCATAACACAATTACACATGAATATTGTCACAATAACACATGAATAATGTGAAATAACACAGAGAGAATATTCTCCTATGATAAAACAAATTTTTTTTTATTTTTCTGTCACATCTAATTGGCGTCATTTCATTGGACTCCGACATAACCTTGCATTATGAGTCATGATGTAATATTTTTTCTCTGGCGATGTATTGTTCTTCGTTTGCAGTTTTTGAAGAGAGACAATGAGATTAATTTGTAATTATTGAAATTGTTTAAATTTATTAAGGGAGAAAATTATTTATGTTAATTAAAATAATCGGGGTTTGCAATATTTATAATTTTAAAATTTTCCGTAAAATTATAGTTAAAAATATGGTTTATCTAAATATTTTATAATTGTTTAGAGAATAACATAATTTAAAACAAAAAATAAGAGTTAAAAATATGGTTTATCTAAATATTTTATAATTTTTTAGAGAATATCATATTTAAAACAAAAAATAAGAATAAATACATAATAAATTTTTAATTGGCAAGAAGAGCACACAAATTTATAATCAATTCAAATTATTAATTTAAAAATAGAATAAATTTATATTAAATTAAAAAAAAAAAAAACTCATAAACATGATTCTAACATTATATTTTATTGCAGATAACGAGCGCCATTGAAAAGGCCATCCCACTGCCATTCACCAACCAGAAGGACCAGAAGATGATAAAGGAGCTAATGGAGATGGAGGGGAAGAAGGCGGAGATAGACAAGAAGGCGATAGCCGGCGTGCGCCGAGAGCTCTGGTGCGGGCTAGGGTTTCTGGCAGCCCAAACGCTAGGGTTAATGAGACTCACATTCTGGGAGCTTTCTTGGGACGTCATGGAGCCCGTCTGCTTCTTTCTGACATCCACCTATTTCATGGCAGGCTATGCCTTCTTCCTCCGGACGTCCAAAGAGCCTTCCTTTCAAGGCTTCTTTGAATCCCGATTTGCCTCCAAGCAGAAGCGAATGATGAGGGAGTGTGGTTTTGATTTGCATAGGTTTAACAGGCTTAGATTGGAATGAGGCTTGGTCATGGATTTTGTTAATGAAAACAATTAAAGAATTGAAATTGGATGAGTTGGATTAAACAAAAAAAAAGGAGAAATTTTGAAGTCTTAATAATAATGGAAGTTGATCTTGTAAGTAGGGCAGTCAAGAAAAGTATAGTGCTTAATTGGATGAGTTGGATTAAACAAAAAAAAAGGAGATTTTGAAGTCTTAATAATAATGGAAGTTGTTCTTGTAAGTAGGGCAGTCAAAAAAGTATAGTGCTCCTCATGAATAACTCGTGTTCTTATTGTTAAGTTGCTCATGTTCGAATTACTTATTAAGGAAGCCCAACATGAACAAAACTCTTAAGCTTGAATTATAAACAAGCTGCATCTCATTGAATGATCATGTTTTGCTAGTTTTTGCTAGAACTTATAGAAATATATATGTATATATATAATTATATTTAAGTTTAAATCACCATAACCCGTGTGATTGTGTGGTTCTGCACTTTGTATTGTAGTCTAAATGAATAAATTGGGATGAGTTTTGATCATAGAAAATGTTGTTTGGAAAGAGTTGAGAAGTCTAAATAGTCTAAGTCTCCTTGGCATGATCAGTCAGTAGTTTTGGAACTCAACTGTTGTCTTTATTTCTATTTATAAGCCTATGGAATCCATTAAATTTGGGCTAATATTACTTTAATATTTAATTTTCTTTGAGCTGTAACAAATGCAATTCCATGCACATTTCATCATGAAGCAAATGGAGCTTCTAAGCTAAACAAATATTTTAATTTTTTATTAGTATATTATCATAATTCTTATTGTCTTTGGGGTAGAGTGCTGTATTAGCTGGATGATAAGATGAGTAATGAATGCCTTATGGAAAGCACAGTATTATTATTTTAATCAAAGGAATGTATAGATCTTTTGTTTTGTTTTTATTTCTATTTTATTTCTATTTCCTTTTAAAATGTTTTTTTTCTTATTGAGAAATTAGAGCAAAAAAATGCAAGAACCAATAGAACAATCAATATATATATATATATGCAATTACAAAATTGCCATTTACCGTACCACAGGGGCGTTGCCTCAGCAGCCCCAACCCACTTAACGAAACTCCCCCAATTGAACAGATGTTTCCACTCAGCTACGCTCCGCTCCAGCATCTATCTCTTATGTGGTATATGAGTCATACCTAACAGTTTTTAAAATTGGAAATGATGCTCTCATATGTTAGGAACATATTAAGTGTACCCGATCGAACGTTCGAATGACGGTACGGATGCGGCCACATCGCTATATATCGTATGACAGTTCATTCGAACAGTTCTCTGAATGTGCAGTCGCCGCACATATTATTATTTCTCAGGTACCATCTCTGCAACCTAAGTATTTGTTGACTTTGCTTAAAATAAAATCCATTTTATACTAAGTTGAAATAAGATGCAACTCTTATAAGAATGACATTTTGTTAATCAATAATGCAGAATAATTGCAAGATTATAGTTTTGAAAATAATATTTTTATTTATTTATTTTTGCTTATATTTAAACAAGTGCATGGAAGCAAAATCTACTGCAATTGATATTTAAACGACAATAACAAGCATTCTATACATGACTTCCATATAAATATGCTTATGATGAAAATTTTTAGAACTTATTTAATAGATAAAATGAACAGTGTTAATTTTTTTTTAATGTATTTAATCAAACGCATAAAAATTTTGTATATCTTAGATTCAATTTTGATTAGGAAAATATATTACATCAGGACTCCGCACGTAGAGTAACGTGCGGAGTCTAATGAAGTTCTGAAATAACACGAGGGGAATATTCCCTGTGTTACGGGCCAATCACCTCCATAACGAAATTTCATTGGGCTCCGCACGTAACTCTACGTGCGGAGTCCTGATATAATATTTTTTCTTTGGTTAGAGACACTATTTAGTTTTATTCCTTTTTTTTTGCTTGATATAAGAAGGCCATTACCATGATTTATACTTATGGTGTATCCTTAACCAATGCTTAAGATTATGCAACACATTTTTAGTTTAATGGATACAACTAATTAACTTTCTAGAAATCTTTTTATCTTCTATCCTCTAGTATAAATGTTAATTGTAATATTCTAGATTTTCTTAAGGTTTACTTTGTAAATATAATCTTAGAATTCTTACAAGATTATTCTAGAATATTAGCTTATCCTTAAACTCTAATTTAGAAAAGTAAAATTGAAGTGATTTACCTAATTTTAATAATTAGTTAAAATTAATCTGGTTTAATTTCTAATACCCTTTCTTAAACTTAATTTTGCAACTCTATGGAAACTTTCCATCCTACCAAAATCTTCACAGTTGAGTTACTTGGTGAAAATATGTGTAACTTAGCCTTGAAACTTCAAGGTACTGTAATTTCACCTTTTTTTTCTTTTAATGATTCTTTGATGTAGTAAACAATATATATTAATGTGCTTGCTTCTATCATAAGAAAATTGACTCTTGACTAGCACCATTGTAGACTTATTATTTGTATGAATTTTGATTACTTCTCTTGTGGTAAACTTAATTTGTACAAGTTTTGAAGCCAAAATAAATGATAAACATATGTGATACAACAATGTAGTTCACTTTGTAAGTAAAGAGGACGACGATCAATTATTTCCTTAACATGCAAGTAAATGCAGTACCTCTTATAAAGAGTAAAAATACTTTCTCACTAATTTTATTATTTGTGAAATACATTAATATCATTGTATCCTACAAGCTTGAAATTATTAAATGATGAATACGAAATGATAAATTCAATTGTAGCTTAAGTATATCATAGAATTCACTTGGTCATATTTAAGTGGGTGAGAGTTTGAGTTTTCATATTGTGATTGAAAGGTATAATGACTAGAAGAATATAAAATCATGTGCATGTCAAGTAGTATAAACTCTTAACCAAGCTCTTAAAAAATGATGGATCAATTTATATAATCTCCTTTATTGAAATTTGAGTGCTTGTCTCCACATTTTATTGGAGTGTTTATTGGCCTAATATTATCTACCTTCATCTTATTTAATATCACATTAAAAAAATATTCATGTGAGATAAAAGCTAAATTTTTGTTTGGTTGAATATGACACCCATGTACTACACCATGAGCTCAATATTAGTCATCTCAAAATCCATAGTCATTACTAGTTTGAATTCTCCAACATGTTTTGGATTGCCTTTGTTGAACACTGGTTTATCAAAATACAAAAAAAAAGCACACAATATCTCTTCATGTTAGTTCTTATTATAACGAGAACATATTTTAACAAAATTTGTTGAACCCATTAGATTAGAAGTATTTATCTATTTTCCTATTCCATGTCTTTGGGGCTTGTTTGAACTCATAGATAGAATTTTTTAACTTTACAATATTGGCTTTTATATTTTGACTTTGTGACCTAGTGGCTATTGAATATGTATGTGTGTGTGTACATATATATATATATATATATATACACACAATATATATATATATATATATTACTTTTATTTGATGTATTGTTGATGTATTGTTAATTTTGCATTTATCGTTATATGTATTTTTAAATTTTATGTGATAATGATGTACTTTGAAGAAGGATTTTGTTGTTTTTGTTAGTGATAGCATAAAAGGAGAGCAAGTGGTATCAAACTAGAAAAAAAATGGAGATTGGAGCAAAAATGTACTATTGGGCGCTTAAGTGCCTACACACGGGTGCTTAGGTGCTAGAAACCTTTTAATTTGAGCAACAAACCCGAGAGCATGGCAAGTAGACACTAGACATTGGATACAAATAAGCTATTATGGGTGTTTAGGCACCGTGATATTGGGCTCTTAGGTGCCAGATTTAGGTTCTTAACTGAGAGCTTGACGCTTAGACGCTCAAACTTGATAATGACAGCTAATGCAGTTCGGACTTTGAGATGAAGGGAAAGAAATATAAAAGCTTTGATGAAGAAGTTATAGGGGCTCTTCCATCACATTTCTTCTGTCATTTTTATGAGTTGGGAATTGAAGAAGAACTCCCAAGAAGAGTGATCAAGTAGAGAGAAAAGAGGATTGAGGAACTTTATGAGATTGTGTGCTTGTTTCTTCAACCGATTTAAGAGAGAAGAAAGGAAAGAAGTACTAGAGTTATTACTTCATGATTTTCGCTTATATTTGTATAACTTCTGTACTTTGAATTTTATGTCAATCACATGATTTGGTTTGTGTGTTCAAGCATGTTTTGTTAGTAATTGCCCTTTCTTCCTTGGAATGGGCATATGGGATAGATGTATGTGATTTCTTTATGTAATTTAAATAGATGATGATTAACTATTTGCACTTCATTTACATTTAATTTTGGCTAAGTGGGGTGTTAATATAATTATGAGTTGCAAATTTCAAAACATATGGTAATAGAATGGATTGAGTTAATCACATTAATTTGGTGAAATAGGAAAATATCTACTAAGTTAATGCAAACATATAAGGAGATATTTGTGCATGAGATAAAGGTTGGTAGTAGGAAACTAATCTAATCTTTATCCAATCTTATTCCACCAGAAGGGGGTAAAAAAGGTAATTTTTCCTATTTTCATCTGATTCCTCATTGAAATTATCACATAAACTTTTCTATTGAACCTTTCCAACAGAGAATGTTGTATCATACTTGAGAAACTTTTCAAATTAATTATGGATAATTTAGGATACTTGTATAGGATTTTAATTACACCAAACTTTCAGCCTAGGGCTAACATCACAGACTAAAATATTTACTTGACTGCTAATAAAGTTATTGTTTCTTACTCTCTTACTTGAATTCTTTCTTGAATTTAATAAAGATGAGTTTTTTTATTACTTATACATGGTCTTAGTAGTGAGGTAGTAGGCTCTTCTTTTGCTTGCTCCATCCTTGTTTATTTCTTATCTTCTTCAAAGTATAAGAAAAGTTGTAGTCCTCATCATGTGATTTATAGTCTTATTCTTCTTCTTCATCAAATTTGACATCTTGAATAATATTTATCTTCCCAATATTTGGAATGTATTTCTTCTAGTATTTTAACTTGATGTTATAATCAATAAAAAGAAACCTCTCACTATTTTCCTTA